TCTCTTCATCTCGCACAGATCATCAGCATCCAAGCATCTCGCCGCTCCCGTCTTTCCGTTATTAATTAATTCCGACTCATTTTCCCCGAGGGAGGGAATCAGATAGGGGGGAGGGGTGAAGGGAGGAGGAGGGAGGAGGGAAAGTGGAGGGGTAAGGGAGGGAGGGAAAGGAGGAGGGAGAGGAGGAGGGAGGGAGGGAAGGAGAGAAAGAGGGATGATAAGAATAAGGGAAGGAGGGAGAAAGAGGAGTAAAAGGATGAGAAATGGAAGAAAAGGAGATAGGAAGAATGAGAGAAAGGGAGAAAGAAATGCGATAGACGGATATATAAACGATAGAGCGGGGAGAAACAGAAGCAGCTTCCCTTTACATCTAGCATCCCTTTTCAATAACGTTTTGGTTTGATCGCATTATTAGTGCACGAGTTTCTCGATTTCATTTTTTATATTTTGGTATGCGGAGTTCATTAGTATAATTAATGAGTTATTTTATAATATTCATCATATATTTTTCTTACATTTTTTTTCCGCATTTCTTTATTTTGCGTCTGTTCTCCTTGAGACGGAATTATCATATATAATGAACGAGTAGATAATTGATGAACTTACAGAATGATCAAAGGCATTATAAACTGTAAGAATACAGCGCCTGAAAGAATGCTTTTTTACGTAAAACTTTGACGTAGTGAAAAAAAAAAATGATGACGTGTACGTGTAAAAGCGAACTTAGGATATATAATAATTTGCGCGCGCGAATTATAACCGTCCCCCCCCCCTTCCCCACCCCTTCCCTCCCCTGTCGCCACCTCTCCGCTCTTCAGGTCAGAAAACCGACAATTATAAACCGATAATGACATAATATTCCTAACAGTTTACCGAAAAGCGGACGAGCGGCGGAGCGTCGGTCGGGAGAGCGGAGAGCGAAGGGACCGGCGGGCGGGTACTCGGTCGGGCGGGCGGCGGGCGGGCGGGCGGGGCGGGAAAGAGGCGGCAGCGGCAGCAGCGGCGGCGGCGGCGGCGGCGTTCGCTCCCGCTACCGCCACCACGAACCGCCGGATCGGACCTTCGCGCGCTGCCGCCACCGAGGCCGCGGAGACTTCAACCCGCGTCGCTCGTCCGCCTCTTTCGGCCGCGACGCAGCGCCCTTTGAGCGCCGAATTTATCTTTGAGTCGTGTAATACGTACATACATGCATGCATACATACGCACATACATACACAAAAATACACATATATATGTAAATGTATATGTATATATATACATAAATATGAGTGTATGTCCGTATACATACACTCATATTTGTTTATATATATATATATATATATATATATATATATATATATATATATATATATATATATATATATATATATATATATATATATATATATATATAGACATACATACATACACGAGAAACCTAGTAAATATGAATAATACATTAGCTAAGCAACGTATTTATTTCATTTGCATACTACGGATATTTTATCGGCCTACATGAATAAACTCTAGCACAAGATAAATATGTTCAAAACCCTTTCAGTTACTTCAGAATATAAATTATGATAATCAGCGCCACAAGAACGGCAGAACGAAATGAATTCCTTGCAAATATCTATACGTATAACGCATACATACATCCAGATACTTTTATATTATGAACACACACACACACACACACACACACACACACACACACACACACACACACGCACACACACATAATTACGCACATAAATCACGTCCATGCGCCGTGTTCAGCGATGTACTCCAGGTCCCTAAACATACGCACACGCACGCGACCCTGTACTGGATCCCCGCACCTTCCTGACCCCGACCTCCTCCTCCTCCTCCTCCTCCTCCTCCTCCTCCTCCTATTTCCGGTGCTGCAATCCTACGCTTAATCCCGCCTTCCTATGAGAAATCACACAGCGACCTCCGTGCGTTGAGTAGAGGGAGGTGAGACTCGGGGGGGGTGAGTGATAGATATGCCGAAGACGGAGCCAAACACACTCGCTCGCTTAATCGGAGGCGGGGGGAATGAACGACCGACTGAATTTCGTGGGACTTTTGTGTGGATGAAAATTTACCTGCAAATCGTCACTGATTGACCTTTGCGATGGCTATCTCGCGTGGGTTTTTATATATGTATGCAATGAGATATATATATATGGCAACATAAACACCTTACAAACTATATGTGCACAGCAACAGTGCAAACAAATAAAAAAAAATCACTGCAAATCGTCACTCACTTGAGGAAGTGTGAGATGAGTCCAACAGCCCTTAAGAACACAAGCAAGAAAATCCAAAAAGGTGATTATATTCCAGCGTCAAATAGCACTAATTTTCGTCACTTGAGCAGGCAAGCCTACCGGGTTTCACGCAGTCAGGTTGGTAATACGTTATCCCAAGAGGAGGAAGAGAGAATGAAGGAACACGTGAGAGAGAGAGAGAGGGAGAGAGAGAGAGAGAGAGAGAGAGAGAGAGAGAGAGAGAGAGAGAGAGAGAGAGAGAGAGAGAGAGAGAGAGAGAGAGAGAGAAAGGGAAAAAAAGAAAGCAAGAGACACAGAGCAAGGGAGGGCAAGAGACATGTTATAAATGTATGCGCTGGGCTTCACCCATAACCAACCTCGTATCGTGAATCCCGGTTCAGATTTCTTCCAGGCGTGTCCCGGTTATAAGGAGCTTTTGCCGACACCCTAGCTATTTACAGCTCGAAACCTCTGGCGGTCTTCGAGATGCGAATAAGCTAGGATTGGAGGCGCTCTCGGGACACGTCGCTTGTCGTGGCGTGGGTGGAGAGTTCATCCGATTTTTTATTTCTTTTTGAGATTGTTATATTGTTTTCCGCTTGATCAAATTTATCAGTAACATTTCCTTTTTTTAAAGAATGACAGCTAAATTTCCATGATCAATAATAGCAACAGGAATCAGCAGCGAAGCACTGAATTCACTTTGCGAAAGAATGAGACAAAACACATGATATATCCAAGGAGCTTTCCATTACCAAATTGAAACTTATTCATACTGTTACTTTTTTTTCCTGAACTTCGAATACATTTCATATACTTTCATCGGGTTTCCTCCTCACCCACGCTACTCGACAATGAGTAATAAAAAAAAGATATATAAAAAAATAATAATAGATAAATGAAAAAGAAAAAAAAGAAAAAAATCGCAGGACCGAAGCGACGAAAATCATCCAACTAGGCCAAGCCACTCATTAATATTCATCATGACCACCACACACAAACTTGGCAACGATGAGCCCAACGATAACCGTGATAAACCCCTTCTGTGGGAGCTTTGGTCTGCATTGCCTCACACTTCCTGCAGTCAAGAAAGATAAAAGGCCTCCAAGTGACCATGAAATAAGTAACATGAACAACCCAGCTTGACTTTTTTTTTTGTTTTCATTTGACAAAAAAAGACTCATTTTGGTCCTCATCTCTCTATTTGTTTTTAGTTTGTTTTTTTAAAGCACTTTGTATCATCTCCAAAAAAATGTCTTGCTATGTTTTTTAGCTATTATTTTGCTCTGTATATACTATCTTTATGCATTATTTTCTCTCTCTTTTTTGGGCATTTTTAGCACCCTGCCTTGTCATGACATCGACTAACGTTAGAGATTCATTAGGGTGAGAGACTACTAGAAAAACAACCACCGACTCACCATCTCATGCTATATTTCGGCTTCTAAAAACAACACTACCAGAAAATAATACCAATGAAAAAATATATATAAACAAATATATGAAAAAAATAGCCGATAGTGTGTGTATTTGAACAAGACCGAAATAGGACTTTGATTTAGATCTCTGCCTTCGAGAACAAAAACTGAATGACACTAAGCAAAATGACCGAGTGGCAAAGGACTCGACTGAGCGTGGACTGAGCACTTGAATGCATTTGGTGGTGAGAGGGATAGTTGTCGGGCCTGTAAGTGGGCTGCAAGGGCTTGCCACTGATGGGGTCTCATGGCTAGGGTTCGGGCTGTACCTGTACTTGTAGTCGGGGTGTTCCTTCATGTGGACGGCGCGCAGTCTCTTGGCCTCGTCGATGAACGGCCGCTTCTCCGTCTCCGACAGCAGCTTCCACTCGGCCCCGAGGCGCTTCGAGATCTCCGAGTTGTGCATCTTGGGGTTCTCCTGGGCCATCTTGCGTCTCTGGCCTCTCGACCACACCATGAAGGCGTTCATGGGCCGCTTGACGCGCTCGGCGGCGGCGCTCGAGGAGGACGCGTTGCTCTTGCTGTTGCTGGTGCTGTTGCTAGAGCTGTTGGTGGAGGAGCCGTTGTTGTTGTTGTTTGTGCTGCTGTTGTTGTTGTTGGTGGGGGTTGGGACGTGTGTCTGGGGCGGCGAGTGGGCGCTCATGCTGCCCACGGAGGCCAGGGAGGGGCTCGTCAGGGACGAACTGAGGGACGAATTGAGCGACGTCAACGAGGAATGGTGGGACAGGGAGTATGTGTGGGAGTGGGAGTTGTGGTGGGCGTGGGACACAGTGTGGGGAACGGAATGGGAATGGGAGGAGTGGGGAGGGAGGTGTGCGGAGTGTAAGCTCCCGCCCTTGAGGTCGGGAGGGTCGAGGGTCAGCATGGTGGAGGGCTTGAGGGCCGCGCTGCTGTAGTACTCCAGTGTTGCGGCTTCCCGGGGCTCCTTGCAGGATATGGGCTCGTGTCTGCTCCCCCACCGGCGCTCCCACACACTCCGAGTTCCCTCCACCGCCGTAGGTTGCTCAGCGCCCGATGCCAGGGCACTGTACGCCTTCACGCCGGCAATGGTGGTGTCCTTCGTCGCAGACAGGGAAGTTTAGCACTGCATTTACACGTGGCTCTACGCCAACACGAGTATCTGAGAGTAGCACACGGCTTCTGGGATAGTTAGCGCCTACAGCACCACTTGTTGTCACCACTCTACACTATTCACTGTATTGTGGCTAGAGTAACCCGGATCACATGAATGGCACAACAGAGCTCGCTCTATACACGTCCGTTCACTGTGAAAGCCGTCTATTATTTACCTTTAATTTGGCTCCGACTCGGGATGTGTTATCGATTGACCAAACTCCACCAGCCACGCATCCTAGCCAATCAGCGCGCGCTTCGCTCCTCCCCCTCCGCGGCGAGAACCAATGGCCGCACGGCTCCATGTGACGTCACACAAGGGGGCGGGCCAATCATATTTTTCTACTTGTATTAGGAACAGGCGGCTCACCCCAAGAAGTACTTGTACAAAATTCGTGATGAAGGCAAGAATCCTACATAGCTATACACGTTTAAGCTTATGAGTTTTGTAAGCACACACACAGACGTCCGCCCTTCCCTCTCGCTGCAGCGCCGACCGTGGGCGGCATGGCTTCCCTCCTCGAAGACCGCGCAAATGGCTGAATTAAGGCTCCCGGAAGGAAACACAAGAATCCGTCAAACTACCCACCAGAACTACGACATCTTCAAGACATTACCGTAAAATGTGGACACTTCTCCGCGGCCTCCGCATTGCTCCGGCCATCTGAACTTTATGTGTAATAATTATAATCTCCAACGCCGTATCTTAATACCGCTCGGATATCCCTACTAGACTTGTATCTCATTCTTTAAGTATACGTTCCCTCCGAGGCGCAGCGTCCTTTACGGTATGGCAAACAACTTCATGGCGCCATATTCAGGAAAGATTTACAATTTTTATGAATTTCCCGGAGTGACCGCCGCCACCGCCAGCTAGGTCTGGCCGCGACCGCTCGCTCCCGCCGCTAGCTGGCAACCGCCCACGCTGCCATGCCATATGCCTCTTCTTTTTTAGGCGGAATGGCCCCGTGTTCCTATCGGTTATGTCCTATTCTATATTATTTATGCTAGTTTTTTCTATCTCTGAACCCGCCGCGAAAGACGCATAAGGAAGAGGAGGGCGAGAGAGGAGAGTACATGGTATATGGATGTCGAGTAAAACGCGGAGGATTGGAGAGGAAGAGGGGAGGGAGGAAGAGGAGGAGGGACGAGTCAAAACTCCGCCCACGAAGGGTACTAACCCCGCCCCGCGTGTGACGTCATCAAATCAGTTTTTGCGCAAGCCAATGGGGAAACGTGTACGACTCCGCCTCAAAATTGAATTTCTGAAACTTGTGCCTGATTTCATCCACCAATTTCCCTCTCCCCCCCTCTCCTACCTCGACCCTTCGCTCTCTCTCTCCCTCTCTCTCTCTCTCTCCTCTCCCTCTCTCTCTTCTCCCTCCCTTCTCCTCCCCCCTACCACACACACACCAACTTAATTAGGGGGTTAGTAAATAAAATGGGCACTTAAAATGTTAAATCTTATGATGGTCTGGGGGTCTAATCACAGGGTGTTTGAAGAGAGTGCGGAATTTGTTGGGATATTGTGCCGAGGCGCAGAGGCGGGTCTGGCCGACTCGCCGCTTCAGAGCTAAGACCCGTCGAGTTAGGCCGTGTCACTTAGCCATGCCAGCCCGAAGCGGATGGGCCTGGGAGGAATGACAACCTCATCCCCCTTTCCCCCTCCCCCTTCCCCCCCCACTTCCTTCCCTTTCCCCCTCTCTCTCCCTTTCCCTCCCCACTTCCTCCCCTTTACCCCCTCTCCCTTTCCCCCCCAACTTCCCTCCCCTTTCCATTCTCCCATACCCCACAACCCCCGACGGCAGAGGTGAGTGTGAGAAAGAGAGACAGTCACGGTAACATAATATATTCAACTAAACTCACTCTCACATGCTTCTACAATAGTCGGCAAGGGGGGTCGATGGGCCAGTGATTGTGATCGGTGAAGTGATCGGAATGAAGAGACAACACAAGCTCTCCGCAACCCCTCATCCTCTATGTAAAAAAAAATAGAGAGACAAAAGGCGAAAGAACATTATACCCCACAAAACCGTATTCTGTGTATCGACGACGCGACAACCGCGTGTGTCTGCGTGTGTGTGTGTCTGTCCACAAAATCCTCGTCTTATATCCCCCCCCCCTTATCCCTCCCCCCTTTTCCCTCCTCCCCCGACACACACACACATACACAAACCCATTCAAGTCACTCCATGACCTATTATCATGGAGGTAAACACAGGACACTCATACACACTACACACACTATGCTACCCCTGCTAATCCTCTCACACTAGTTCGGTTAAATGGTTCTGCTACTAATCAGGTATCGTTGGATAATATAGAAGGGAAGGTGGGATCGTCATTATTATGTTTCTATTCATTTCTCCTTTTCTCTTTCTCTGTCTTTCTGTGTCGTTGTCTCCTCTCTGTCTGTTTGGTTTTCTATCCGTTTCTCTCTTTCTCTCTCGCTCTCTCTCTCTCTCTCTCTCTCTCTCTCTCTCTCTCTCTCTCTCTCTCTCTCTCTCTCTCTCTTTCTCTCTCTCTCTCACTCACTCTCTCTCTCTCTCTCAGTCTCTCTTCCTCTCTCTTTCTCTCTCTCTCTCTCTGTCTCCTATAAATTCGCTCTCGGCTCCCCAAAACGCACGAAATATGGCTCTGTGAATACATGTGTATATGCCTGTATGTGTATATGTGCATGTGCGTAGTTTTCTATCTCTCCATCTCACTCTTTTCTAACACTGGCTCAACCGAAGGCGCGGGGAATGGGGTAGGATGGGAAGAGGGCAGGGGGAGGGGAGGGGAAGGGGGGGAAGGGAGGGGGGGTCGAGGGAAAGAACAGCCGCCTTATTGTGAATATATAATACTTAAACTCAATTGATTCCTCGTTGATTGTCACTGATTTTTGCTGCACGATAATATATTCATACCTGTGTACGGTGCGTGTGCGTGTTTGTGTGTGCGTGTGAGTGATGGACGGGCCTTTTTCTTTAGTACTTTCTTTACGTGTGTGCGAGCGCGTGAATTTCCAGAGTGAGTGAGTGAGCGCTTTCTCTCTCTCTCTCTCTCTCTCTCCTTCTCTCTCTTAATACAATATATACATAATTTGTTATTCATTCACATTCATACCTTTTCTACATATATATATACATATATATGTATATACGTATATATATAATACACACACACACACATATGTGTATGTATATATATATATATATATATATATATATATATATATATATATATATATATATATATATATATATATCGCCGGCGCGACTAAATATATATATATATATATATATATATATATATATATATATATATATATATATATATATATGTATATATATATATATATATATATATATATATATATATATATATATATATATATGTATATATATATATGTATATATGTATGTATATATATATATATATATATATATATATATATATATATATATATATATACATATATATATATATGTATATATATATGTATATATGTATATGTATATATATATATATATATATATATATATATATATATATGTATATATATATATATATATATATATATATATATATATATATATATATATATTTATATATATATATATATATATATATATATATATATATATATATATATATATTTATATATATATATATATATATATATATATATATATATATATATATATATATATGCATATATATGCATATATACACAACAGCAACAATAATTCAGACCGTATATATTATATCTTTCGTTATTAAACATTATATAAATTTAGAATATCTACTGAGCGAAGAAATATATGAAAAAAAAAACAAATATTCTTTTTCTTTCCTTTCGCTATTGTACAGCAACAACAGCATTAAAAAGAAATATATATACAGTAATAAGGATGACGTGACAACGATTTTAGTCATGCTGATAACAACAATGATATTGATTATTATGATAATAATGATAATGATGATGATAATCATGATAACAAAAGTAATGATAATAATGATAATGGTAATAATATTAATAATAATAATATTAATATTAATAATATTAATAATAATAATAATAATATTAACAATAATAATAACGATAATAATAATAATAATTCTTATAATGATAATAATAATAACAATAATAATAACAATAATAATAATAATAATAATAATAATAATAATAACAATAATGGTGATAATGATAATAATAGTGATAACGATATCGATAAGGATAATAAGGGTAATGATAACAATGATAATAATGATAATGATAATAATGATAATAATGAAAATTATAATAAGGATAATAATAATAATGATAATAACATTAATGATAATAATGATAATAATAATGATGATAACGATAATTATAAATAAAATAATGATGGTGATGATGATAACAACGATACTAACAACAATCATAACAATTATCGTAATGATAAAAAAAAATTATGATACTAACAATAACGGCAATAACAATAGAAATAATATGAATAACAATTATCATTATCATAATAACACTAATGATAAGCACAATAATCAATAACAAAAATATCAACAACAAGTCCAGTAATCATAATTAGACCCAGCAATCAGCAACACATCTGTTGATCTTGTTGCAACTAACCACGACAGGGACTCCACTAATTTGCATATTAAAAAGACATATATATTCTCATTCACACTCTTACTTTTATTATTCCTTTATTAGTTTAGATATCTTTATATAAACAAACATATGTAAGTTTGTAAGTTGCTACATGAATCTCTTAATATGCTTTCTGTTTTAATATTATGCAAAATAGCATGATAGGTAAAATATAAAACGCTGATAATTTACTTTATTTCTTTATCTATTCGTATATATATAGGTTTTTGGATACGGAATTGTAAAATAGAAAAAGTTTATTGTAGTTATTGAAGATATTTGATAATGGGAATTGATAAGAAGTAATGAATTGTCTGTTAGTATAACTTGCAATGGTATTTATGATAGTGAATATAAATGTAAGGATGGAAATGATGAATAATCATAAAATTAATAGTAATGATACCGTTGTCGATGGAAAATTGCAGTGACAACAGCAGCAACAAACAAAAATGACGGTATATGGAATGATAATACTAATAGTAATAATTATGACGCTAAAGGTAATAATATGG